ACTACTACTACTACTACTACTAGTACTACTACTACTACTAGTACTACTAGTACTAGTACTAGTACTAGTACTAGTACTAGTACTACTACTACTACTACTACTACTACTACTACTACTACTACTTTCGAGACCAGAACCATGCCAATAATTGACATGGCCGCGCGGATTCCGCGCGCGCGGAAACGCGCAGATGTTTTGAGGTCAGAAGGACATTCAAGCTAGCTCCAATTGAAAACAGGTCAGAAACAGGTCAGAAACACCAAAAAGGCAGCACTTGCCTAGCATCCCATCCATCCATCCATCCATCCATCCATCCATCCACCTCAGCTCTTATCATTGCTACTAATACTACTACTACTACTACTCCTGCTACTACTACTACTGCTACTACTACTGCTACTACTGCTACTACTACTACTACTCCTACTACTACTCCTACTCCTACTCCTCCTACTTCTACTCCTACTCCTACTCCAAACGCAACCTCTCTCTCTCTCCCCCTTGCCTATTCCCTCACCCTCCTACCAGAACTCCTACGCCTACTCCTATTCCAATTTCCACTACCACTACTGCTAGTGCTACTGCTACTGCTAGTGCACTGTGAGTTTTCCGGACCGTTTCCGGACCGCACAAGCTTATTTTGCTTCCAAATTTGAAATCGAATGCGTTCACGCATGGATCCTTACTCCCACTACTAGATTTGCTACTACCCCCAGCACTACCACCACACCCGCTGCTACTGCACCACCACTACCACTAGTACACCTAGGAATTTCTGCTCTTGCTTTTAAATCCAATTGACACGAGTTCCGCTGAAGTGTCAGAAACGAGTCAGAAACCAGTCAGAAACCAGTCAGAAACCCGTCAGAAACCGGTCAAACGCAACCATCTGTTTCCCCCTCCCTCCCTCTCTCTCTCTCTTTCTCTCTTTCCCTCCCTCTCCCTTTCTTCCCTTGCCCTGCTACTAGAACTCCTTCTCCTATTCCTACTCCTACTCCTACTCTTACCCCTCCTCCTACTACTACTACTACGACTACGACTACGACTACGACTAGTACTACTAGTACTACTAGTACTACTAGTACTACTAGTACCACTAGTACTACTAGTACTACTGCTGCTGGTACTACTGTGAGTTTTCCGGACCGTTTCCGGACCGCGCGAGCTTATTTTGTTCCCAAATTTGAAATCGAATGCGTTCACGCATGGATCCTCATTATATAATACATAACTTATATTTTATGTATATGATCTGATCAACGAAGAACAAGCCCTTCCGCGATTGCTCACTGTGGTACCGCGGTTGCTACGCGATTGGCTGAGCGATTGAGGGCTGTCCGGGAAAATGTATTTTGGACAACCCCCATATATATATAATTATATATATATATGTAATTACATATATATATATATATATGTAATTACATATATATGTATAATTATATATATATTTGTTCTAGTCACTAGTAATCCCTGGGAGCCCCATTGCAGGTGCAGCTGCGCCACCACCCAGTGGACCCAGTACCTGTGGCAGTGGGAGCGGGGCGTTGAGCAAGCGGCGAAATAGCAGCCCTGCACCAAGAGCCTTAATGAGCATCAAGATATATCAATATTTTTAGATGAAAACCATGGAAAACGACTGTTAAACAGCAGTTGAACTTATTGAACTCACAGATACATGAATATACATGATATGTGATTATGATATGACAAATGGCGATAAACTGGTTGTGTTGATTTGTGTTGTATAAATTCAAAAGGACTCCAACGCTCGCTAAAGATTGTGCTGGAAAGGACAAGCTACCGATGCTGGTGGCGGCATGGGCGGCATGGGTGGCGGCTTGCAGTTGAGTGGCGTAAAGGCAGAGTTGAGCTCTCACCAGCAGAGATGCTGAGTTGCACTCAGTTGCACTGCATAGTGTTTCATAGTGTTTCTATGTTTGTTTATCTTCCGACGGAATCGTTTGTTCCCAAGAGGGACGCTTGCCATCATCTGACAGAGACAGCGAGATGTTGCAGTGATTTTCCTCTCTAATTCCAGGGGGAGAGAGACGTTTTTTGCAAATCACTATGACCTATGACAAGCGCGGCACATTCAGCACATGTTGTCATCAAAGGACCTGCAAGCGGCAAGAGGCAACAAGCGAGCAAATCACCAGAAACAGTGCAAACGTTCCTTGATGCACTTTGTATCAGATGAATTGTCTAGAGGACACTTTCTCGGAAGAGACCGTCCCTTAAATTTGGCATTGAAAGGTGTTTGTGTTCGTGGTAGTTCCCTCTTCCTCGTTATTCCTTGAAAATCTCGAAACATCTTAAAACCTTTGTTCCAAAAATTCAGCACAAGTAGTTTGCCATCCTGAACCATTTTCTCTCAAATGGTATCTCAAAAGTATTCAAGTAAGCTGTTTTTTCCCATGTTGCATATGATTTCCCATTGTTTTCCTATGATTTCCCATTGTTTTTTCTTCCACCAAGTTGCCAAGGCATGACTACCTGAGACGCGGAGCTTCGCGCATCGCCAGTGGTGCCAGTGGCCGGCCTCGCAGCAGATCCCGGGGCCGGGAGGAGCTGCGTGCGGAAGGCCGACATGTTGAGATGAGCGGCGACTTGGCACCACTGGCGTGCGAAGTGGATTCCTATGGATTCCTCTAATCCGTTCATCCCATTTCATCCCATCGTTCAGGGTTTTTCCCACAGCCCCTTATTTTTAATGGTCCCAATGAGGACCATGGGGGTAATATTTTGGGGGGAAAGGATTAATCTGGAAATTTTAGTATGAAAATGGACCATTGATGGCTGGAAATATTTGAGAGAGAGAGAGAGTAGATAGAAAACATGAAAAAATAGAGAAAGAAAACATTAGTGACAATGATATTATATATACACATTTACCTTGGGATTATTGGGAAAGCTTGGTAGGTTGACCAGTGTTGGACAAAGAATAAATGGTCGACTTTCAAGGATTTTGAAGCTTGGACTTGGACCATGGTTTTTTGCTAAATTCTTTGCAGGCGGCCCGCTTCTTTTGCAATGGACGATTTCAAATGGACTGAACGCAACAAGCTCACATACCAAAGCACGAATTCTATCATTCCGCCATCATTCCGGGGCCTTTGAAATCTTTCAATATGCTTTGCTCTAGCTATTTGGAGCCCAATGATGTTCAGTCGTGTCAGATGTTTGAGTTTTGCACCACGAGGAATCGACGGGCTACCTGGACATTACACTGGAAATCAAGAGTTTCTCGTCGTTCATATCCAGAAAGATCAGCTCTAAGCGGGAAGCCTCATCATTCCAATCATTCTTTCTTTTCGAAAACGTTGCCAATATTTATTTATATGTATATATATATATATACATTGATATATACATTGATATATATATAATATAATATAATATAATATAAATGTAATATAATATAATATAGAATAATATAATATAATATAATATAATGTAATGTAATATAATATAATATAGAATAATATAATATAATATAATATAGAATAATATATAATATAATATAGAATAATATATAATATAATATAATATAATATTAAATTATATTATATTACATTATATTATATATATTATATATATATTATTACATATATTATTACATATATATATATTATAATAATTTTGTATATATACATCTAATATTATATATAATATATTATATATTATATATATGTAACATTATGTAACATTATATTATATATACACCACATTTCGGCAACAAAGCAGTGAGAGGGCGCGAAAGGTGTCAAGTGTTCAAGTTTGATCAACTGTCAAGTCACTTTGGACGGCGCAAAATTGTTTCTGCCATATTAACTCAGTCTTTGACTGAACTCTCGGAGAGGGCGATGGAGGGAGATATTAACGTGAATCTCGGAATTTCATGGACACGGGTAGTACTACGATTGTACTACGCATGTGTGTGTACATGCTTGTTTGCACGAGATTGCATTTTCGGATATTGTTCTCTTGTGCAAGTTGGCCTCGTTGACATTTCATCTCACTGAGTTTTTTTCAGTCGAAGAGCGCAGGTTGCTCTTGGTGCAGCAATGGCTGGAAAAGTAGATTGTGATATTATAAGGTCGGCATTCTCAATCAATTGACATCAAGGCTCTCTCAAAACCCACAAGTGTTCGGATTTGGCACCTGCACCACATCCAGGTATGATGGGAGCCGCGGGCTCAGATCAATGGGAAACAAGGGCAACCAAGCAGCATCCGGAAACCCGAACGCTTCTCAAGCTGGCAAACATCCCGACCAAGCAAGCACTTCTACGTGTGGCTCCATGGCAGGCGCATGGCCGCAGCTTTCACATGTTGTTCTATTGTTTTTCTGGGATTGCGGTTTGGAATCAAGTTTGGTAGGCCTGACATTTTTCCCGAATCCGTAGCAAGGGTTTCCGTTTCACTCTGGGGGTCTGGGGGCTGAGGGTGTGTTCGCTCGACGTGCGTTTACGTCCACAACCGTCCGCAACCGTCCGCAACCGTTCGCAACCGTCCGTGCGATTGCTATATGGCCGTGCCTATGGTAAGTTCTCCAGAAGGGGTCACTTTTGGAGGTTTCAAAAGTCGCGTTGCTTCTTTTCGCGTGGCAGGCGTGGCACTTCGTGACATTCAGACGTGTTTTGTAACGTGTCGAAAGTGGTTTTGTTTGGCAAGCGCAATACTTTTGCGACGTTTTCAGAAGATGCGTTGCAGTTTTCGTGGCAGGCGCAGCACTTTGGACGTGCCCATCGTCATTTTGCGTGGCAGGCGCACCACTTTAGACGTGTCGTGTTGCGTGTTTTTTTGCAAATCGCATTGGCAGGGCTGCGTCAAGTGGCGACAGGGTGCAGATTCCGTGGCAGGCGTGGCATTTTGTGAGATGTGATGAAAAATTGACGGAAGCCTCGCACGAAACATCGATTTTGAGGTAGCAAATTTAGAGGTTCCTCAGAAAACTCGTAGGAAAACGTCGATTTTGAAGCTACAAAGTGTCAAAATTAGCGGAAGTCTCGCACGAAATGCTCGTTTTGCTGCTCCCACGTGTCTCTCTCGAGTCTCTGGTTTTCCTGCGGCCTCGCCGTGTCTTTGGGGGAAGCTGCAAAACTTCTCCTTTTCGAAGGTGTCAAAGCAGGTTGTCATGGCGTTTTGCGTGGCAGGCGCGGAACTTTGTGACATTCCAACCTGTTTGATAACGTGTCGAAAATCGTTTGTGTGGCAGGCGCAGTACTTTTGCATCGTTTTCACAAGATGAGTTGCAGTTTTCGTGGCCAGCACAGCAATTTGGACATCTCTGTCATCATTTTGCGTGGCAAGCGCAGCACTTCAGACGTGTCGCATGGCGTGCTCTACACTCCACCCTTTACACTCCACCCTTTACACTTCACACTCATCACTCATCACTCCACACTTGACACTCTACACTCTACACTTTACACTCCACACTCCACACTCTACACTCTACACTTTCCACTCCACACTCCACACTCTACACTTTCCACTCCACACTCCACACACTACACTTTACACTTCACACTCCACACTTTACACTTTACACTCCTCACTCCACACTCCACACTCCACACTTTACACTCTACACTTTCCACTCCACACTCCACACACTACACTTTACACTTCACACTCCACACTTTACACTTTACACTCCTCACTCTTCACTCCACACTTTACACTTCACACTCACAAATTTACACTCCACACTCCACACTCCACCACACTCTACACTTTACACACTCCACACTCCTCACTCCACACTCCTTACTTGACACTCCACACTCTACACTTTACACCCCACACTCCACACTGTACACTCCACACACTACACTTTACACTCTATACACTGTACACCCTGCACTGTACACACTACACTCCACACTTTACACTTACACTTTACACTCTACAACTCCTCACTCAACACTTTACACTCCTCACTCCACACTCTACACTCCACACTTTACACACTCCACACTTTGCACTCCACACTCCACACTTTACACACTCCACACTTTGCACTCCACACTCCACACTCTACACTCCACACTTTGCACTTTACACTTCTCACTCCACACTTTACACTTTAGAATCTACACTTTACACTCCACACTTTACACTGTACACTCCACACTCCACACTTTACACTCCTCACTCCACACTGCACACTCCACACTCTACACTTTACACTCCTCACTCCACACTTTTCACTCCACACTGCAAACTTTACACACCGCACTCCACACTCTACACTTTACACTTTATACACCGCACTCCACACTCTACACTTTACACTCTACACGCTACACTCCACACTTTACACTGTACACTTCTCACTCCACACTTTACACTCCACACTTTACACTCCATACTTTACACTCCACACTTTACACTCCGCACTTTACACTGTACACTCCACACTCCACACTTTACACTCCTCACTCCACACTGCACACTCCACACTCTACACTTTACACTCCTCACTCCACACTTTTCACTCCACACTGCAAACTTTACACACCGCACTCCACACTCTACACTTTACACTTTATACACCGCACTCCACACTCTACACTTTACACTCTACACGCTACACTCCACACTTTACACTGTACACTTCTCACTCCACACTTTACACTCCACACTTTACACTCCATACTTTACACTCCACACTTTACACTCCGCACTTTACACTGTACACTCCACACTCCACACTTTACACTCCTCACTCCACACTGCACACTCCACACTCTACACTTTACACTCCTCACTCCACACTTTTCACTCCACACTGCAAACTTTACACACCGCACTCCACACTCTACACTTTACACTTTATACACCGCACTCCACACTCTACACTTTACACTCTACACGCTACACTCCACACTTTACACTGTACACTTCTCACTCCACACTTTACACTCCACACTTTACACTCCATACTTTACACTCCACACTTTACACTCCGCACTCTACACTTTACACCCCACCCTCTTTCGCATTCCACAGTCTACAGTGCACTGGTACGGTAGCAGGGGAAAAAATGTGGACTGTTCAAATAACTTGTCTCACAATAGTGTTCGACGTGACTGCATTCGGGTTCGTGGGCTGCATCTTGTTTTGAAGTGAGATTTTCCGTGATACTTTACGTTCTTGGTTTATTTGGGCCTGCTTGACGCGACGATCATGAGCTGTGGGTTGCTGACACGCTTTTGTCATTCTTGGTCATAAGACACCGGAAAGGTTTTACAATGGTTTCACGAGCGCATGAGATTTGAAAAGGTGTCAGGTCTATAGAACATCCCAGCAAAACCATGACCACCAACCAGTACAGGAGATCTCAGACACTGATGCCTCCCCAACATCCAGGTGCGCCAGGTGCCGGGGCGGAAGCTTCTGTCCGAAGCACAACCAACGCAAGCAGAGGTGGCAAAGATCAGCAAAGCAACTCGTTTCGCAGTTGCTTTGCCCTTTCGCACTGTGAGACATTTGAGATCATTTGAGGTTGTCAAGGTGTGTTGGCATTTTTGCGCACTGGTGTCCATAACATTGTTTTAACGCCATCAAATGTCATTCCAAATGGCACACTCGCCTCAGAAAGCCAAGCTTCAAAAGCCATTACACTATTTCTGGTTGTCACTCTGGCAATCTCGGTTGTCTAATGCTCTCTGTAAACACTTTCCCCAAAAAAAAGTACATGTAAAGAAAACTGGTCCACACTGTAGCACAAGTGAAGGTGCTGTTTGACAGAGGATGGCCATGGAATCAAATAATGATGATAATGGGGAGAGATTCTGTACACTTGTGGGGCGGGTGTTGGATGGAATAATGGAATTAATTATATAAAAGCCATAAGGCCACAGCATCATTGCTGGAACGCTTGAAAGATCTTGACGTGCAGAGAGGACACAGACAGTAGCGTACAGTAGCTATAGTTTTGCGAACACTCGGAAACTTTGAAAACACATTTTTTGAGATGTGTGTGACGCAAATGAAGGCTCAAAGTGATGGTAGGCTGCGGAACCCATCCACTGAATGCAACAATATTGTTTTAACAAAACTAGATGTTGTTTTGACAAACATGCATCAGGGTTTGGTATTTGCTGCGGATCAAACCATTAAATCTCCTGGTGAACCTCGAAATAGCTGGGATTTGTGGGATTCAAGGATGTTCATACCTACCCAACTATGGCAAAAGGTTGGATTTTGACCCATCTCGATGCTTGTATGATCAATATCCGCATGAAGACCATGTGTACGAAGAATCATCCGGGTTTGGAACTTTGATGCGTTCGTTGAGATTCCGTAATTAGCATTGGGCCTACGCCTATTTCGGTATTTCGGTGTGCATATAGAACAAGTCACAGTAATTATAACTTGGCTCATCTTGGCTCCCAAGGCCTTGTGCAGCCAAAAGCATCCAAAATCTCCATCTTGTGGAACCCAAAGATGGAGAGAGAAAGAGAGAGAGAGATGGGGGGCAGTAAAAGTGCCAAGAGATTGAAGATTATTGAAGATTATTGAAGATTATTGAAGATTATTGAAGTGTACTAGTCTCTGCACCCTTTGGCTCCTTTGGTACTTTATGTACTTCGGAAATCTTTGCAACATCTATAATCTATCAAATGTTTTTCTATCAGAAAATGATCATACATGATCATACATCATCATATATCATGATACATCATCATACATCCACTAAAATATCTGGCTGCCTGGTGGATGTTCAGATTGGATCCCACCAGGCACTGTATCTGATGCGCCGAGGCCTCAGTCGATCTCAGTCACATCAGTCGTTGTTCACATAAGAAGTTTATACAACTTGCATGCACGGCATCTATCCATCCATCCCACTATCTATCTAGTTGATATATAGAGTCCCGTCCCCGGGGTTTAAGATGCAGATGAGTGGTTGTGTTCCTTAGTGTTTCCGGTTCAAGTGAATGGGGGACTGCCCCAACTGTCGCACGTTCTCCGGGGCCCCTACTTGCTCTTGCTGCAAAACCTACTTCAGGGTAGGCAAGCTACTTCGTGGAGGTCGCCTGAGCGGTTTCCAGGAGACCGCTGTGCTTGCGATCCTCCGGAACGCGGCCGGGGCATTGAGCGACTTGGTGGAGACCGGCGAGAGTGGGCCTTTCGGCCGCAGCTCTCCGGACGGGAGTGAAGAGGCCGAGTTGGGGGCGTCCCCTTTGAAAGAAGGAGCAAAGAAAGAGGCAAAGAAAGAGTCAAAGAAAGAACCAAAAGAGGCTGAGCAAGAGGTACCAAAGACTGAAAAGACTGAGGAC